TATATATATATATATATATGTATATATATATATATATATATATACACACACAGGTTTTAGGGGGTTGATTTTAGTGGGTTGAGAGGCTACATCTCTGTAAATGTATACCAGTCTTTATGGATCTGGAAGTATGAGAGTCTTCCCTATTGTAACTTTATTTTTTGTTTTATTTTAAGGTTCAACTGGCAATCTTATATCAGAAAGGTTTCAAGAATTCTGGAGGATGTAGTTTTGGTGTCTGGAGATTTAAATCCTTTCATTGACAAGTTGCAACTTATAACGTAATGTAGAACATGCGACAAGGCTAAGGTAAGAAGCAACTTATCATTTTTGCTAAAATCACTGTCTTAAATATAGGTTTTTATTATCATAAAAGATCAAGCAAATAAGTTGATATATCTGCTAATGAACAAAACAAAAGTTATATTTTTATTGAACACTAATAACATACAGCAATGGTTTTGGAACTTTGTCTCATGACACACTAGTGTGTTGTAGCAAGTTCATTGGGGTGTTGTGAGAGTTTCATCAAAGAAGAAAAATTAAGAACGTAAAAAAAAAAAAAATTACATGTGGCAGTAGTGGTATCGCTCAAGTCAAGGTAAGTGGGTCAGGGTGTTGTTAGTGGAAGACATTTAGAAATCACTTGTATACAGTGTCTATCATAGACATTGAGGGGGTTAAAAAGTGTGCAGCAGCTTGATAGGTAAACATTTTGAGGTAAATACAATGAAACATTTATTAAATCCCCAGTTTCCTTCCTTCTGAATTTTCCCTGGCCAGAAAAAAATGTTTATAAAGACTGAGTAAAAGTAAAACTAACACAGTTATTGTGATACTGATAGAAAAGTGCATGTAAATTCTTGGTTACTTCAGAAGATAAAACTTAATTCACTCCACATTTTGCTGTAGCAGCTTCTTCATGACTGCATTACAAAAAACCTTTACCAATCATAAGATAACTGTAAGTTGCTTGCGTGTAGAAGGATAAGTTGTAGATCATAGATGTTGTGATGCTAATAATATTGTTTGGGTTTAATATGGGGCAATCTTGTATCACGATGGCCCACAAGCCACATCCAGCTCCTAAGGTTTTGTCTGACCCAGCCCTCTCATTAATTTCCTTACTTTCTGAGTGGTAAACTTTGTGTTTGAAGTCCAGAAAGTGTTGACCCTTAAAGGATTTTCATAATTTATTATCTTGCCTTTCATTGGTCAAAGGTTTGTTTCACTATGACATAGGATGTAAGTGTCCTTTTGAAACAAATAAGTAATTGATATAATTAATGAAATAAAACACATACTTAGATTGAAGAAATAATGTAACGTTTGATGCATTATGTTGAAATTGTGAAAATGTTTGATTTTCAGTATTTATGTAATATTGCACAAAACATAAGATCACTAAAATTTATTATATCTATGATAAACAAAACCAGTGTTCTAACAATAATGTTAAACACTCATAATAGTTCATTGTTATATCAATCAGGCATCTGTTGATCGGTCGTGTAGTCAGAAATGAAAGTGATTAGTAATTCACTGTATGATGTATAATATATAGTCTTGTACAATTTTGTCTCTTAGGAGTGAATTATTGACTTTAAAAATGTACCATCTTGTTCATGAACCTTGGCTAGACCAAAATGAATACACTTGGTTGTTTTCTTGTTTGGAGAATCATCAGATGAATGGAAGAAAGCCTCTGACAGCAGGCTATAAGTACCTTAAAGTGTGCTTGGAAAAATGAGACATTGCTTTCAAATTAATGATATGTTTGCTTGAATATCTGGACAAGGTAAATCACCATCCACATCTGAAGAAGTTGATCAGTATCTATTGATTTTGATTCACAATTGTAGAGTGTCTGTTTTGAGACTGAATCAAATGTTTGCAGCCACAGCTAGGTGGCATGTCAGTGTATGGACTTTCAAAGGCTGTTCTGTATGTCAACTACCCAAGGAAGTACCTTCTGTTCACAGCAACACATGATCAACTTATGTACAATGGATTAATGACATGTGGAATAATATTTTCTTTACCAATGAGTTGTGCTTCACTTTGCAGCCAGATACTAAGTATAAAATTATTTTGAGAGAATTTGTTCTATATCAAACATAGTGCATATTATGGTAGCAGAAGTATAGTGTAGCCAGGAAGGGGCATTGGTGGACATACCTATGAATCCTTGTGCTGCCATATGTTAATGAACTTTGCTATAACTTTGATCAAATAGATAACACCTACACACATTGTTGGTACATTCCTTGCATAAGAAAGGATTGTCCGAAAGGACTGGTCTCCATGCTTGTCATCCTTTGAAGCCCTATCCCATACTTTCTGTTTTTCTTGTTACTGCGGGGTCTTTCTTTCCCCTGTCCTTGCTATTTTTATTTGTTCTTTCTGAATATACGTCAGCTGCCTAGGCATCTGGTACTTCTGGATTGAGATATTAACATAGTACTCCATTCCTTTACCTCCATTGTGACCATTGCCTCAGCTCTTTGTTTCACCTATCCCTTAAGGTGTATTTCATTCTCCTCTTGGCCTGCAGGTGGTATCTGTTGTATCTGTTCACTATCGATGTCACTCCCACACTGTACCACAAAATCTATTTTCTCCTTTATCTGGAATTTTCCTTCCTTCCCAAGACCTCGGCAGATTGTGAGGGGCAATTCCTCCTTTTTGCCCATTTCCCTTCCCTCTATTTCTCATTTCTACCCTCATCCTGATCCGGATAAACTTCTGTGCCCAGTGTGTGCCCTTCATTGTTATATTGCCCACACGGCTTCTTTCAGGGGTTCCCGTTCCTGCCTTTTTTATCCTGTGGCAACCCTATTCCTCTTAGGATCTTTCTCCCTTTACCCTTACCAATTCGATTTGTCATTTAATCCAGTTGGCTTATTCCTCTTTGTCCCCTTCCCAACGTGCTTTGTTCTGTGTTACTTCTCATCAACTTCGACACCTCACCTTTTTTCCTTGCTTCTTGTCTTCATTGGCCTTTGGAGGAGATTCTGCAGTTGGGCATTTGGACCACCCCTCAGACATTCATCTCTCATTACTTACATCACATTGTGGTTTCTGCTTCCTCGGGATATCTCATGCCACCTGTGGCTATAATTCAGACTTTGAAATGGCTATGACACAAAGTAAGTCTTTATTCATGCTTTATTTTCTTTCAGGGGCCCTTGCTTTGAATTTGTCTCTTGTATCCTGCTCTGTGGCGAGTAGTGCCTGACCAGGTATTCTTTTCATACACAACTAAATCCGCATTGTACAGCATGTCGATTCATGTGCTCTTTCCATGGCTCTGCACACTCATTTTTGAGATGGGTGTTTGACAATTCACTTGATGGTTATTAACCTCGTGATATTTGCTTAATAAATAGGCTCGTCCTGGATCATATCACCCATGGATGGCACCTACACCTACATAACACCATCTTTTTTTTACCAATGAGTTGTGCTTCACTTTGCAGCCAGATACTAGGTGTAAAATTATTTTGAGAGAATTTGTTCTATATCAAACATAGTGCATATCATGGTAGCAGAAGTATAGTGTAGGCAGGAAGGGGTATTGGTGGACATACCTATGAATCCTTGTGCTGCTATATGTTAATGAACTTGGCCATAACTTTGATCAAATAGATAACACCTACACACATTGTTGGTACATTCCTTGCATAAGAAAGAAGTGGTCTCCATGCTTGTCATCCTTTGAAGCCCTATCCCATACTTTCTGTTTTTCTTGTTACTGCACTGTATATCATGTACCCAAGGACGTACCTTCTGTTCACAGCAACACATAGATCAACTTATGTACAATGGACTAATGACATGTGGAATAATATTTTCTTTACCAATGAGTCGTGCTTCAATTTGGAAGCCAGCACTTCAGAGGAGTTTAACAGGAGAATCCATGATTTCCAGAAAAACAAGCTGTGTTTAAATTTTTAATTTTCATAAGGGTATGTGTTCAAGGACAACCTTGAAAGACCAAATGGCCATTTTTCATCATTATATGTTAATTTCATGAAGTCCATTAAGGATACAATAATTCTCATAATAACAGCAAAAGCTGTTTTTAGGTTATCTATAATGTCTGTAGAGTCTTGATGAAATGTTTTACAAGGTGTCCACAAAGTCCTGTTCCAGTGTTAAAAGTTTATTAGAACAAAACCAAAACAGCTAGAATTGTACAGTTTTTAGCACCTTGTTGCTTAACTAATGAAGTTTTTTTCTTGATTTACAGATTGTAATTGGAGTGTACAGTCACTAGTGATTGAAGTATGAATGAAGATGGCAGTTTGGAACTGGCAAGTGGTAAAGACTCCCATGGGAAGAAAGGAGGGGAGAGCACTGGAGAGTCCAGAGTAATGGCTAATCTGAGACAGTGCAATCAGTGATCACAAAATCCTATATGAAAAGCAGACCATACCAATTTATTCAATCATAAGTACAGTTTATATCTGTATACAGTTTGATATAGAACAAATTCTCTCGAAATAATTTTACACCTAGTATCTGGCTGCAAAGACAGATTAAGGTAACTCATTCCATAAGTCAGTCACCATATTAGAAAAACTAAATTGTGTCAACTGCAGCCTGGCCTGTCTTTTCCAAACTTATATCATCTTGTTATCTTAAAAAATATAGCAGAAATAGATCAGAGGCTTTTATGCTATTAATCTTCTGTGTAGTTCTTACTCTTAATTAAGACCACCTCTTACCCTTTTTTTTACAAGAGAAAATAAGTGAAAAGATCTTACATTTTAACCCATCCCTGTAAGATAACATATCCCTGAAACATCCTAGTAGTACTCAAGAGTGTAGGAATTCTGCTTCTCAGACAAAAAACGTTTTCCTAGCTATAGCGTTGTGCATCATCATTTTTAAGAAGCCAAAATATTTGTGTTGGCTCATACTTCAACAATCCATCATATTTGTTCTGCTTTCCAAAAAATTATCTTACTAGTTTTTAATATGAAAATAACCTTTATTATGATAAAGCTTTGTGTTTTAGTGCTTTTTTATTGTTTCATAAATAAAATTGTATTCATATGGTTATTTCATGCATGGGTGCATAAACCGTATTGTGAAATCCATAGAGTCCATGGGGTAAACTGGCATATGTGAGCAGCAACATTGGCATATGTCTTAAAAGTCAGCATGAAAGGAGCCAAAAAGAAATCTAACAAAAGTAAGTGTCTTGTTTTGTCTTAATAAGTAAACAAGTATTTATCTACATTTGTACTAAAATATCATTTTAAAATGGTTATATTTATAATACTTTTCCACTAACTTAGTACTTGCCTGCTATTAGAATTAGCTTAAATAAAAACAAATTACCAAAAATATATATACTAAACAAACCCTTGCTAAATTTTCTTAAGGAAATGTTCAAATTAAATTGTCTTTGTAATGGTGCTTCAATTATGGCTGTATCTCGTATTTTTTGAGATATAAGCATTTTAGAATTATTGAAAAAACTTAAAATTTTCTTAAATAATGTGTTAAGCTGCATATAGAAAATACTGAGACTCTATGTTCATTCTAAAATCTAAGATTATTGAAAAAAACAGTGAAATTCTCAAAAATAAAAAATAATTTTAGCTAATAATTATGATTTGTAATTATAAGTTGTATGATATTTATGAATTATTTGGTGTTACATATTGGACTTATTGGTTTTTAAATATTTCATTTTTATACCAAAAATGTGTTTTCCAGAACAAAGACCAAGGCAAAGAAAAAGCAACAAGGCAGTGTGCAAAACCTTCTCATTACTTTGCCCCCCCCCCCCCCCCAAAACGAAGAATTGATAATGATTTAGACACAGATTCTACATCCAAATTTCTCTTCTCAATCTGGTTTTGGTTTCTTTTCTCAAACTCGACCCTGTCTCTTCTTTCAAGCTAGTTCCAGTGTCTCTTCCTAAGCCACAGTGATTTGTTCAGAAGTAGAAATGTCAATAAAAACAGCTATTGTCTGAAGACAAATATATTCTTCTAACACAGAGTTTACTACCAAAAGATTATATTTATCCTGTGGCATTCAAAGGAGGATATCAAAGAAGTTTTGAAGCAGAATGTCTGAAAGAATTTCCATGGATGGTGTATAGTCCAAAACTAGATGATGCTTATTGTATATTCAGGGCACTATTTTGTTCTGATCAAAGCAATGAAGGAATATTCATAAATCAACCTTTCACTGAGTGGCAGAAAAAATCAGAGAAATGTAACGGTCACCAAATGTTGCAGTACCACACCTAAGCAATTATAATTGCAAATGCCTTAAAGATACTATTAAAACTCCAGAGCAGACAATATCAGTTCTGCTGGATGCACAATAAGCTAATGATATTGAGTGTAATCGAGAGATTATTAAAGCTGCTGTGGATTCCATCTTTTATTGTATAAATCAGTCTATCGCTCTTCAGGGTAAATGAGAGAATGTGAATCGGGTAACCCAAGTAATTTTCTTAGACTTTTGAAACTGCTTTCTAAACATAAGTTGACTCTAAGTCAGCACCTTCAATGTCCCCAGATAAAATGTGCTACTTATATGTTGCCTCAAATGTAAATCAAGCTGCTCAATGTTACTTCACAAATCATTGAAGTCTAATGAATGAAATTAAAGAGGCTTGTAACTTCAGTATTATGGCTGACAAAGTGACCTCTAGCAACACTGAGCAAGTGCCATTTTGTGTCCATTTTGCTGATTCAAGGAAAAAAGATTCATGGAGAGTTTCTGGAATGTACTTGCCTTGAAAGGATTACAGGTAAATTCATTGCTAGCTGAGTACTTGCTTCAAGCTACTTGGTTTAGAGATCATATGCTGGAAATGTATGTTTTCAAAATATTTTACTGAATATTGACCAGCTACTGCTGCAAGTGCTTTAAAATCTTGTGATTCTTTTAATTTTCTTAACAGTTTTATCTTACTGCAGTTAGTGTGCATATTACACATAACTTCATAAGAGTGCAAATGAGGTTATAGTTTGCTCAGCCATTTGAATGCCTATGAGGGCAGTAATGAGCCAGGAGCAGTTAAGTGCACTTGCCGTACTTCTTGGACATTATGATAAAACAAATGATCTTGTTGAGTTGGTGGATAATTATTCATGGTTGCATCCATGTTGCCTTCAAATGAAGACTTTGTTAAACCCATAGAACATATATTGGGTATCAATACTACATAGAGGTTTGGCACTTTGCTTTTGAATGTATATGTATATGCTTTTGTATATGTAGAAGTAAAAATAATTTCTTACTAAATGAACTATTAAAAAATCTATTGATGTTCTTATTCTTCTACTTGATTTTTTTTAATGTTATGTGATATTTATATAGTTATATTTACATAATTAAACCTACATATACAGTTTATTCAATATGTTTTGCATTACCAATAACATGCAATTTGTATTACATTAAATAAAACTTACATATATGAAGGAAATTCTATAACAATTAAAGCACCCTTTACATTTTGTATTGTTGTAATTATCAATAACAAAGAAATTATAAGTGAATGTAATTTTCATCAGTGTCTAAAAATTTGAAACAAGAATGTTTTTTAATCAGTATGTATAAATCTACTCTGAAAATTCTGTTAGGTTCACTAATAGCAACAGAGTACTGCCACAAAAACTTAAGTATCTTATTCACCACTAGGTTAAGATAATTTTCTTCATTTACGGTACTTAGTGGTTATCTATCTATATTAAATGTGTGATCCAAATAATAACCAGATACATTACTATGCATGAACTATAATTATAGGTCATTTACTAAATATTTCTTCAACCTACTAATTGATGTAAATCATTGTATTTTACCTCAGTATACTTAACTTTTTAAACCTAAGCAGAACCTGCTAGCTTCCAGCTGAAAATTCAGACTTAACCAACAGACATTTACACCAAGTATTCAACAGGGAGAGGTTTGAGGTTATTTGCTCAACAATGCTTCACTTGGGTACCCCTGATACTGAATGGAAACACAAAATTGAGAATATTGAAATTTTATGAAGTATGGTGATAATTGTTAGGAAATCATGGAAATAATTCTGGCAGAATGTGTAAAGATTATGGGTTTAAAGAGTTAATGCATCTAGAAGTACTCAAGAGTTTAATATCATCAGCAAACTTTACTAAATTACTAGTTATGTCGCTATAGATAAATAAAAATGATTAAATCTCAACCACTGATTACTGAGGCACTCTTCTACTAATAAGGGTCTAGTTAGCATTTTCCCATCCAACTTGTTGAGTGATAGTCTAATTTACTAGTTTTTTCCCCAACATCTATCTACCAATGTGATTTTTGTTGCTAAGATGAATTTCAGTAGGTAATGCATATAACAAATTTCCACAGCAAGAAATCCATAGTCTTAAGCCTTGTGAAACTGTGAAACTTGGACAGTAAGATTATTAAGTCTGCACTTTAATTGTTCAGTATCTTATTTGAAAATTATAAACATTGTGGACTGAAAATGGAAAACTTGTTAAGGTGTGATGTGTAGGGCCAATTAGAGGGAGGGCCACTTGGCCCAGGCCTCAAGCTCAAAGGGAGCCTCAAATTTAGACACTTGTTGTTGTTTTTTGCATTTGTTAAGTTTTGCAACCTTGTTTTTATGCACAGAAAATGGGTACAAAAGCATTTATTAAATGTAATAAATTTTAGTTAAATAAAAAATATTCAAATTATGTTTCACTTTTATTTTGGGCTAATTATTGATTGTCTTATTTTGTTTTCATGTGTCATCAGTTTTTATTCTTATTATAGCCAGTGACCTTAAAAGGTATAAGTGGCCCGGATCTTTTTGAACCTCTGAGAAGGCCTGGTGATATGTATATTGATTATAAGACTAGGATCTGTAAGTATATATGTATATAACATGTACATCTTAGCCAGCTAATTGACTAAATGTTTTAAATAGTAAATTAAAGATAAGCTGATGTGAAGAAATTAAATATTTCTTTTGGTTCATTTTATGAAATAATCTGTGGTCATGCATCATGCATGTATTTGTAGAAAATTTTCTTGTGTATTCATATAACATGTAAAAATAAATTGTAAATGTCAGTATTAATTTTTTCTAAACTTTCCAAAGTTTCAACATCTTTCAACATAGAAATGACATGATAATTACTCGATCATAGATTGCTCATATTTCTTTCATGAAGGTTTTTCTCCTGACAGTGACAGTTTTGCCATTTCATATTGTACTAATTTTTCTCTGCTTGGTTGCAGCTTGGCTTGTCGCAGCTACTGGGCCATGGTTTCTGAGGAAGAGCTTTGTGAAAATCCTTGTACATTCACTGGTTGGAGAAGGCGTGATCATCAGTAAAGTAAGTTGTTTAGAAAATCTGACAAATGAAAAGCATTACAGTAATTGCAGTATTCAAGTAAAAGCAATGTATTGTGATATCTGTAATCCATAGTTACTGGACAAAACAAAGGAAAAAACAGCTTAATATTTCATGGTATAATCTGACATAAAATAACTGCTTCTGTGGATGCAGTAGTAATCTGTAGAACTTTGTTCCAGTAGTTAGAACTCTGTGAAGTATCATTTACCCATTCCTGTAACATTATGTATAATTTTTATAGATGCTTATAAAAGTGGATGGTTTTATTTGTTTTACTTTGAATATAGTTACAATTTTTTTTGAAGAATCGTGTAACTTTACCTTTATGCGTTACTAACTTAAAGCAGTCATAATGCTTCATTTATTGTTTTTCTCTTGTTTTGGTTCTCATTAGATATTACATGAAACTGTAAATTCTTGGAATATTTTGTTGTATTTTTTTATGACTGGTTGGCATTGGGTTACAATGAAAATGAAGTAAGCACCTTCAAGGAGGCTCCTGTTATCATCTTGGTCCCTCATTCCAATGTCAACTCGCAATATGAGGGTTGCAGGTTCAAATTCCTGTCATTGAACGTGCTCATCCTTTCAGCTGTGGGGGCATTATAATGTGACAGTTAATTCAATATTCCTTAGTAAGAGAGTAGTCCAAGAGTGGGTGGTGGGCAGTGTTTACTAGCTGCCTTCCTTCTAGTCTTGTTAAAGGACATGTTGTTGTAAGGAGTATATGTTTATTTGACAAAAGTATGTGCATGTGTCCATTTTTAATAAGTGGTATACAGCTGGACCAACTGTCACTAAATCTGGCATACCATCAAGGAATTTGATTTGACCTCCCTATGTATTCCCTGTGCATTGAATAGGTATGTCAGCTAGTACGATATATAATTAAATATAATTCAACGAAAGGCAGCGAAAGCTCATTTTCAAGGATTTACTGTATGTTAATATTATTTCAGTCATTTTGTTGTTGATACCTAAGTAATAATTGTTTGTTTTAGATACTGCTAAATCAACAATATTTGTTGTTAGTTTCTAGATAAACATCTTTCTGTTTAGAAAATATAATGTTTCATTGTTGGCTTTCATGTATCTCAGTATTTGCATTGTAGGCATTACTGAAATTGTTTGTTGGTATCTAAGTAGTAACCTAGTGTTTGTGTTTTAGATATGGCTAAATCTATACAGTTTGTTGCTGATTTCTAGAAAAAATCTTGGTATTTGTGTGTTATACATGACTGCTTTGTTGCTTCATATTTCCATTTAATGCTTTGAACATTTTAGTTTAGATAGTAGTACATACCCAGCGATCCATCTAATGATTTCAGATTTTTCTAATAAGTTAGAAGATGCACTTTATAAGGTGATGTTTAGCATTCCAATAACTATAACTGACCTTATTTCAAAGATTTGACATATGTGGTTTCCATCAAAGTAGTTAATGTTTCACTTAGTCTCCATGAAACTTGTGCATTTGTAGAGTGAAGCAGTTTGTTGCATTTAAAACAACTTCCAAGAAAGTATGTTTCCTAATGTTGGTCTACATCTGCTTTTGTAGACTAATCTTTCAAGACTTTTTCCACAAGTGTTATGCTGAAGACAGTTGCTGCCCATTTCACATTTGTTTATCATGAAGACTTTGCCGATATCATCAATACATTATAGTATATTAAATAGAACTGTACAGGTAATTTAATTGGCACATTTTCCTTTTTAACAACTTGTTCTTTAGTCCTTTATGGTCCTCACATGTTCTTGAAAGAATGTTATGTTTATATTTCAGGTTTCAGTTGTATAGTTTGAATGGATGGAATGATGCAGCAGTTGTAGTCCTCATAGATTTTTTGCTGATACTTATTTTTGCTGTATTATCTAAAATTAAACTGATATTTCTAGTATAACTTTAGAGGAGTTTTAGAATGTGTAAATTTTGCTGGATTTGAAAACTCTTATGGACTTAATCTGTCTGGAGTGAGGAGAGGATGACATTTAGGTTTCTCTGTTCAGGCCTTCATCAGTGAAAGTTATATACTCCTATACTTCAGGCAAACGTAGTTCCTGAAAACTTTTAAGTTGAGTATTCCTAGCTTAAGTTGTTTGACAGAAAAAGTATTTTTTTTTTAATTTGTGTGAATGATGCAATTTTCATGGTACTTTTAAACTTTGACTTAAAATCATTTAATTTAGAATATTTTCTAATATTCTGTAAAAACTGATAGATTTTGATTGAATAGACAAATTATGAGTGAGACTTAGTTTGGCTAAAATGAGGTACTATAATTATATAAGTTTAGGAAAGAAAAGTTATAATTATAGAATAAGAAATATATTAAATATTAGTATTTAATTCATGTGAATTGTGGTTATTAAATCTATGGGTCAGTCTGAAGAGCATTGCCATGATACAGCAGTTTCATTATTTAATATTATCTCATTAGTAACTGGAGTTTCATCCAAGTGACATGATGATATTTAGTTAAGTGTGTAATATAGTAAAGATTACTGTAGCTCATTTCTCCTGATAGCACATTTTGAACTTGTGCCATATCCATTATTACTGCTGGCACAAGCATTCATTCTTTAACACATGGCTGAAAGCTTCCAAAATGCCTTATTTGTTTTTGCTGATATTGTAAAAAAACAAAAAAAAAGTTATGGAATAAAATTATATATTAAATAAAATTACAACCACACATTGGATTCAATTGAACATGAAGCTTTTAAGGCTTCATTTGCCATTGAAATATTGGAATTTTTCTAAGATGATGGATTAATTTTCTAAAAAAATTAACTTTCTGGGTCATTAATTTACCATGGATTTGTAACATTCTGCTTTATGTTTTTGATGTAATGTCAAATTCATATGCATTAATAGCTGCACTGTAAAGAACCATATTTGTTTTATTTCTTTGTTGTTAGCATCAAAACTCCAGACACTAAATAGTTATAAAATATTAGTTGGCACCTGGATTGAGTTGTCAATAAAACACTAATGATTCTTAATGACGTGGTATAGTTGATTCTTCTAATACTTTGCAAAATAGTTTTTCTCTTTTTATGTTTGAACTTTCAAAAGTATTCATAGGCACTATAAAATAGCTTATTGTTATGAATGGAAGTTTATCTTTTTGAAAATATTTCTTTATCAGAGAATTTTAAATTTGGTCCTTTTATTGTGTAAAATTACTAGGTTGTTTATTCAAGAGTGTTAACTATTTATGTTAAAGGAGATGGGTGAAAAACTTCCAACACACATCCAGAATGTAGCAAAATTTTCTCTCATCTGTACCAATTGAAAGATAATATTCCTGTTAGTGAATACGATTTAAAAATACTTAGTTTTATGAAACACGAAACAAGCTTCCTAAGTGATACAGTCTCCCTCTTATGACATCAGAACTAACATAGAGTGAAGTTGAATGTTCAATGGTGTCTTGTGATTACTCTTATGCAGTTAGTTAATAAACTTAACTTTATATAGGACAGTTTTCTTTTATTGCATTTCAGGTATAAAGTGTTTTAATTTTTCTTTTATCTGCACACTTGATGATTCTAGATTACTGCAGAATAATAAATTTTGATTTTTGTTCCTTGGTTGATTTTGACAGAGTACTTAAAAGTATTTGTTTTGTACTTTGTAAATATTCTTTTTGCTTCTTCATTTGACATAGTATACAAACTAAAGCATTAAGTTGGTTAGTGCACTTCCAACATTAAACCATTTAATAGTAGTGTCAGTACACTTCCAACATTAAATCATTTAATAGTAGTGTTAGTACATTTCCAGCATTAAATCATTTAATAGTGGTGTCAGTACACTTCCAACATTAAATCATTTAATAGTAGTGTTAGGACATTTCCAGCATTAAGTCATTTAATAGTAGTGTTAGTACACTTCCAACATTAAATCATTTAATAGTAGTGTCAGTACATTTCCAGCATTAAATCATTTAATAGTAGTATTAGTACACTTCCAACATTAAATCATTTAATAGTGGTGTTAGTACATTTCCAGCATTAAATCATTTAATAGTAGTGTTAGTACATTTCCAGCATTAAATCATTTAATAGTAGTGTTAGTACATTTCCAGCATTAAATCGTTTAATAGTAGTGTTAGTACATTTCCAGCATTAAATCGTTTTATAGTAGTGTCAGCACACTTCTAACATTAAATTGTTTTATAGTAGTGTTGGTACACTTCAAATGTTAAATTGTTTTTAGTAGTGTTGGTACACTTCCAAATTCATAACCCAGATGTATTGCTTGTATTTTATATTTTAAAATAATTCAGTATAAAGAGACAAGAAATAAAACTATAGATAGTATGAATTTCAACTGTTACATTTTATCAAATCAGTGAGTTAACTATACAGCTGCAGAACTCGCTGCCATTGTAATTGTGATTTCTCTACTTTGTAGGAGGTTCAACCCTGGAGTTCTTGTGCAACGTTTATGTATTAAATATCCAAATGGTTTAATAAGTTCACTCTTCTGTTCAATGCTATAATTTGATAATTTTTGTATATTTTTAGTTGGGTATGTTGAATACATTTCTTTTAGTTTAACTGCTGAATTACTTGATTTCAATCTTTTATAACACTAACCAAATACACACAAACAAAACGGTTATAAGATATATATAATATACTTTACCATTTATTTTGATTTAACAAATTGTTATTGTCTGTTTTTATTGTTTCTTTCTGTTTTCAGGATGCCACAGCTAGGACTTGGGATATATAAAATGACTTTCTCAATGTTTAAATTGGATATTCATGTGTATTAACTTATTTCATTTGGATAATTTTGAGTTCCAATGACCTAAAGAAATTTAGAATAAGATGTAACATCTGAGCAGGGATTTCAGGTAACAGAGTGGGTAGATATAGAATATGTCGGGCAGCAAGGTGAATAGATACAAAATGTGGCAGACAGATAGGCAGGATTTTGTAGCAGCATTGTGGATTGATATATAATATACTAGGCAGGGGTATCTTTCTATTCCACTGATGACAAAATGCTATTTTTTCATATGAAAACTGTAAAGAAATTTATAAATTCAACCAAAAAAGTCTAAAACACAAAGTAGAATTGAATGTTTATGGTTTCTGTCTTAAATTTCAACTGACAATGTGTTACTTATGTTTATGAGTTAGAAAAGAAATATTTTTAAGCTTTAATAAAAAACAACAACCCTGACTTGTATTTTGTGTCAACGGTGCTTGCTATGATAACAGTTTATCACTTGGAAATTGGTACCATGTATAGCTTAATGCTGTCCAGATTGTGAAGCTGATGATTTATGGTTTATATTCCATTGTTGCAAAAACACACACTGAAATTTAGGGTCATTAGTGCACTATAAGAGTGGTGGTCAAATCTCAATAGTGGGTCAGAAAAGAATAGCCTAAGAGTTGGTGATAGTTGCTGTTGACTATCTGCCTTCTCTCCAATCAAAATTTGGAATGACTATGTGCAGGTAGTTATTTGTGAAGTATTTTTATTATGCAAGTTTAACCGAAAAGGCAGTTTTGAAGATTTATTTACACATTTGTCTTCTAACTGACTGCTTTTATTTGCAATAAGGATAATTTAACAATACATATTACAAGCATTTAAGTAGTAACAGTTCTTTAATATTATTGTGATAAAGTACAAGCTCTTGCAATTTTATTTTCAATCAATCGTAGCTGTGTATAATTTCTGGTACATGCTTTATTTTTTCAGTACCTTCCAGTTTAGAAAAGCCCAGCAAGAATGAAAAAAAAATCTTCACTTGTATGCCAACAATATAAGATTGCACATTGTTAAATAAGTTAAAAAACATTCTCATCAGTTTCGTAATTATTGTATGGGAGGATTCTTAGTTATGTACTAAAAGTCTTTAATTTCATGGTCTTTGATTAGGTAAATAGAAATGAAATTCTTGTACATTTATCTCCAATGCAATGCATGTAGAATCATTATTCAGAATTATATTAACAGTGTCATACCTTATGTACATATATAACATACAAGTCCACCATTGGGACAGCAGTAAGTCTAATTCTACAAAATTACAATTCTAAAATCCAGGGTTTGATTTCCTGCATTGGACACAATAGATAGCCCAATATGACTTTGTTCTAAAAAACAAACAAATAACATATAGAATCTTTAAAATGGTGGTTCCCAAGCTGACAATGCTTTAACCCACTTACCATGATTTTCACGACACTCCTGCTGCTGCATGCAGTATTTTCTTTTGTAGAGTTTTTTTTTGTATGTTCTTTATTATTCTTTGTTTGCTGAAACTCTAGCAACTTGCTGCAACACACTAATGTGTCACAATACAGAGTTTGGAAACCATTACTTTAACAGTTGTCTGGCAATGTTTTTTACTTGGCTAAATAAGAAAATGTTTATGATTAAGATTGCATATGCCTCATAAGTAATCTCACTTTATCAGATTTCATAGTTACAAAAGGAGTATTTTCTTGATTGTATTGTATATAATGCCCATGTAGAAATAAAATCCTTCAAATTTTGTCCATTAACTATTTAGTCAGCAATTTATAGCTACTAACATTGTAGATTTCCATGTGTTTGAGTGAGTTAATGTTTTCAACTAGCTCAAGATACAACATATATTAGATTTATTGAACGGGTATATCTCTTATAGAGAATTAGTAAACATGTTTTTGTGACTGACTGTATAACATTGGTCATATGACATCTGCAGCTGACAGACTTTGGGTTTCTGGTATTCTAATGTATAAATAGCAATATTACACTCAATATGATTTTCAATTTTTCACCAATGGAAAATCGTGAAAATGAATTGGCTATTTATAAAATCCAAGGTCATACTTTTCATTTTGAAAATCAGTCAGTGTTTGAAACTGTTTGTAATAATGCTATATTTTGGTGGTTGGTCATAATGTGATGTAACTATTACAGAGAAATATTCAGCATTAGGTATTTTGAGTTTGTGATTAATATTGATGAATGTAATATTACACTTTTTTATAGTATTGATAAAAAAAAATCATTGCGTTATGCTTAGCGAGTACATTTTGTATCTTATTTGAAATAAAAAGTGTTAGAAATTGAAACTACTGTCTCAGCATGTGGTGTTTAAACATGAAATGATTTTTACTTAGTGCTTAGGAGAAGGTTGTGGTAACTAGAATTAAGTAATTTTAATGATTATTAGCTGATAAAAACGTTTATTCTCCAAAATCATTGCTTAACTACTAATTATAAAATTACTTTAGCTAACAGTAAAATTTTATAATGTACGTTACTAAACATGAGAATGGACTTAATTAGCATTTGTCATTTGTGTGTGCAGTGTTATTTCAAAGTTTTCAGTAGTTGAAAGTGAAGTGGATATTTATTTCTTAAATGAAGAACAGTGTGTTTTGCACGATAATTGTGTGTGCTAACATTCTATAGTGTTAAATAACAAACATTTATAAACTAAGATTTTTCAGGAAGATGAAACTAAGGGATGGTTGTTGAGTTTTGCTGTAATTGTATGGTTATTACTGGGAGATATTTTATTCAAGAAATTAACTCGAGCTAGTTAAGGATTTGTAACAGTTGGTAGTTTTATAGATTTTGTAGGATAATTACTGTTAATGCTATTTATTATCTACATAATGTATCAGTTAGCATATAAAAAAAGGAGAGGAAATGGACAGTTAACATTTTACATGCATGATCTTGTTTAAGGCTGGTCAAAGTTTGTACATAAGAATGATTCCATTGACACTTAGCTGATGGTCAATGCAGACAATATAGGAAACTAAAAGTTGTTTTAATCCAACAGGAGTTTCATACTAATGAGACATATGTCACATTAAAATGGTTTAAAACTCTCAGCATTAATCATCAGTTCAAAATAAATAAATAAAAATTCTTATTTGCAAACTTTGGCCTGTTGTAAATGAGAACTTCAGTGCCTAATAGCATACTTTACCTTGTGAGTTGATCAAATTAGTGTTGATTTCGCCAAATTTGTAAAAATCTAGCTTTTTTTTATAATATAGTAACATTTTGTGGCATGTCTTCATGCTGAAAAAAGTTATTTCAAATTGTTATTGTGAAAGATTTATCCATCTAATTTAAAAAAGAGCTATACAGAATATATTTGTACAATTATGCTAGTCCATAGGATAATCAGACAAAGAGCATGTGATTCATACCTGTCCATCTGATAAGAATTAAATAAAATACTTTGAAAAGAGGGGTTTATGGTTTACCTCTCTTTAGGATACCATGAATCAACTAAACTCAGCACAAGCATGAGGCTCATTTAAGTTGGTCCAGAAATCAAAGTTGGAAAGATGTATGAATCATTTATTTTCAACACACTATGATTCAAAGTCTGTAGGAGTATAGTTTTTCCATTTGTGATATATATCAGGAATCTAAATGTAGAAGAGCATATAATGTATATATTTTTAATGTATCAGAAATTCATTTCATGAAAGTGTATATCTGTAACAGAATATTGTCTTCTATTTTCAGTATACTAAGAATCAAATGTAAGGAAAAATGTTTTCTATTTACAACACACAAAAAGAATCAGTCTAGAAAAGTATATGAATAATTTCAACATAATAAGAATCAAAATCAAAGAAAATGTTGTTTTACTCTTTCAATATACTGAGAATCAAAGTGTGGAAAATTTTAAAATTATTTTGCAATATACCAGGAACCAAAATATGGGAAAAACATGTAATATATTTATTTTTAATTTATCAAAAATCCATTTCCTAAAAACTTATAGTTAATTTATTTTCAGTGTATCAGAAATCAAGATCTTGAAAGCAGATTTTCTTAAAATTAGTTTGCAATATACTAGGAACCAAAATGTGGGAAAACATAAATTTATTTATTTTTAATTTATCAAAAATTCCTTTCTTAAGTATTTCTGGTCAATTTATTCTCAGTGTATTAGAAATGAAGATCTTGAAAGCAGATTTTCTATCTTCATTGTACTTATAGTAAAGTGTGGAAAAGACTTTGTTTTCTATTTTCAATGTAGAAGAAATCAATATCATGAAACATTTGATTCGTTATTATTTCAAGAATTTGTGGAATCCCATAATGCAATAAATGCATGTGATTCTTCTGATTTCAATGTCTCGGGAATACTTTTCTTATCAAGGTGGTTCATTATATTACAGCAGGCACTGTATATCGCTTCACGTTACCATTAGCCCTGGCCTGGCATGCCATGGTGGTTAGGGAGCTTGATTTGTAATCTGCAGGCTGCAGATTTGAATTTTGCCACTGAACATGTTTGCCCTTTCAGCTGTGAGGACATTCTAATATGATGGTCAATCTCACTTTTCATTGGTAAAAGAGTAGCCCATCAGTTGGCAGCAGGTTGTATTAACTAGTTGCTTTTCCTCTAGTCTATCACTTTTAAATTAGGGATGGCTATTGCAGATGGTGATTAAGTAGATTTATGCCATTTAGGATGGTATTATAAATTTTATGTTGGACTTACCAACTTTTCTTGTTACCCTAAATCACTGATTTTGCAACAGAGAAAATATCAGATGATATACAGGGATACTGAAAAAAAATTAATGTGCATTTAAGAGGTTGTAGGGGTTATGCAACTTGCAAACTATATGAGAAACAAGTATTTTTATTCTTCACATGAACATCATCTTGAACTCTGACCCATTAGAATCTGAGTCAGAATGATTTGACATTTCACAGATATATCTTTAGAAGAAAATATTTAGTAACATATCTGATTTTTGTCTACAACAACCTTGTACTTGTAACTAAAAGCTTGCTACAGTTCTTGAAGATAAACTTCATAAATTTGGAATTATAGTTAACATTGCTTCTCCAATATAGGGTTAATCCATTGAATTGACCCTTTACATGTTCACTTATATAATTGAGACTAAAAGTAGGCCAATGCACGAGACAAAATGGAACAAGCATTTATTGTAAGGAGCTGGTGATTAGCAAAATTTAAGTAGTTCAATATCTGCTTAAGATAAGCAAGCTCATGACTGATGAATCCTTAACTTTAGAGCAACTTCAACTCTACACCAACTCAAGTAGCTAGATTCAACTGTATGTCACATTTGGTTAATAATTTGTTAGTTATGCTAAGTCATTCTCTAATTCCTGTGGTGCATGTTGGTTTTGAGTGGATATCTGTGTTCTTATGTATTCAACATTTTCCTTCTTACAACAGAATTAAACTTATAAACAACATATAATTATTTACTCATAGGTAGTCTTCAAAATTAGTTTTTTAAGGTTTGGTTTCAAATCACACTTAAGTTATATCTGTGTCTATACTCATGTTAAAAGTATTGTTAACTTTTTCTTTTACTTAGAAAGTATGTAATCTTCTGTATGATAAAACTGAAGCAAAGTTTCTAAAAGTGATGAACATTGAGGTCTTTATCAGTAAGACCAGAATGTAAAAAATTTACTCAGTTTTATTACATGTATAATTTTGAATATTTTCATTTAAGTGTACTACTAATATTGAAAACTTTAATGATATGCCATACAAATTTAAGTTTAAAACTCAAAAGGTTAAAACAATTTCATTAAAACCAAATGGTTTTTGACATTATCAATCTAGACTTTTTTAAACAACCTTAAATATTAAAAACATTTTAGAACTAACAATATTAAAAACTTAATGAACAGTTAATCAGATTAATGTTTATTGCATCTAATACAAAATAAGCAAAATGAGAATAAAATCACTTAATTTTATTGGACTTCTAATCTTGGATTATTTTTAGACAATTGCAAAGTGTACAACTAAAAAGTAAAAAATTGTTAGTTTTTAATTAACCAAATAAATTTTTGATGTAATTGTGAAAAAAAAAATCAAAGTGAGGATAAAAATCTTAACGTTTATTTTTTGATAAACTAATGTAAGTTTCTTATCATAGTTGACCATCAAACATATAAACATTAAATTTACATAGGAAAGTTAATAAGACTCAAAGTGTTTTTTTTTTTTTTTTTTTTT